CCTCTCACCTAAAATTACATGATGTTTTTTGTGTCCCTGGGTTTCGAGTTAATTTGTTGTCTGTTAGCAAACTCACTCGTGACCTCAATTGTTTGATCTTATTTTTTCCCACCTTTTGTATCCTCCAGGATTTAACCTCGAGGAAGATGATTGGATTGGGGGAGGAGAGTGATGGTTTGTACTATTTAGTACCAGTCATCGAAGTTTTTCTTCGTGAGCGTAGTCCCAAAATTGCTACTGTTGCACAACCCTCTTCAACAACAAATCTCTGGCACAAACGATTGGGTCACTTGTCTAGTGGTCCATCTCGAGTTTTATCTCAAACTATCCCTTCAATTTCTTTTGATTTTAATTCCCATTGTTATGTATGTCCTCTTGCTAAACAAACCAGATTACCTTTTTTGCTCAATTCCATTTCAACAAATAAAGCTTTCGATTTAATACATTGTGATGATTAGGGTCCTCATCACTTGCCTTCTCACTCAGGTGCTAGATATTTCTTAATAATTGTTGATGATTATTCACATTTTACTTGGATATTTCTCATGAATTTTAAGTCTGAGACACAAGAAAAATTGAAAACCTTTTTTGCCTACGCTTCCATACAATTCCAATGCACAGTCAACCAAGTCCGTAGTGATAATGGATTAGAATTTTTGTCCATGCGTCCGTTTTTTAACCAACTGGGCACAATCTGGCAACATTCTTGCCCCCACACCCCTCAACAAAATGGGGTTGTGGAACGAAAGCACAGACACCTCCTTCAAGTTGCACGTGCATTACGTTTTCAAGCAGGCCTACCCCTTAAATTTTGGGGGGAGAGTGTCCTAACTGCTGCATATTTAATCAATCGTGTGCCCACCTTAGTGCTTTCTAGAAAGACTCCACATGAAATGCTCTACAAAATTTTACCCTCCTACACCCATTTGCGTGTCTTTGGATGCCTTTGTTATGCCACCCAAACAGCCCACACACACAAGTTTGATGCTAGGGCTCGTAGATGCATTTTTGTGGGTTATCCCTCTGGCCAAAAGGCATATCGCCTATTTGATCTCAAAACACATCAATTCTTCTCCAACCGGGATGTAGTTTTTCATGAACATGTATTCCCATTCTCAGATATTTCCCATGACACACAACTCGAGCTACCTCAAGCTCCAGTTTTACCATCCATCCCAATCACTCAAGACACCCATTCACTTGAGCCCAACCAATCAAACCCACCACTTGAGCCACCCATTGTTGATCCACATACCCAACCTATGACTTCACCCGCACCATCCAATTCTTCTCCAATTAACCTTCTTCGTGAATCTTCCTCATTACCCGAACCTTCTTCAATGACCTTTCCTACACCTAACAGCCCTTCTACAACGTCACCTCCACCACAAGCCTCCCACAAAGATAGATCCAGACAAACACACCCCCATAAGGCCACAGTCGATAGCCAGCAATAGGTGCACCTGTACGGAAGAGCCCCGGTGAAGATTCCTATGGAAAAAGAAAAAAAGAAAAAAAATCAAACAGAATCCAAGAGAAATCAAAGAAACCCTCAGAAAACGAAGGAGAAAACCTAACAGAGACGTAGAGGAAGCAGGCACAGGGAGAAACAATAGCCGCCTTATGGCTCTCCTCGCGTAAGGTGAGAGAGTTTTTTTTCCCCATAATATTATCTCATAAAAGAATATAAGCTACTCACGACCTTTATGAGAGCCGAGTATGCCAAGCTCAATTTTGACGCCATTTCTCTAATGAGCCTAATATTTTGGTCAAGCTACACTTGTTTCTTTTACGAACAGAGCTCGGACAAACTAAAAACGATTCAAACACAAATCAAACTCAAACCGTATTGAGCCATATATAGCCGTGTTAACTATACTTATTTTATACCAAAAAACATTTATTTCAATCTTAGTAATATTTATTTTTCTAGAAATTTTAATACTGAATCACCCTCCTAGTTAATAAAAATGAAAAAACAACCGAACTCATTTTACATAAAAGTCACAACTAGATACCACCAAACTTTTAAATACTTTTAACTACTTATTAAAAGTCAAAATTGAATACCACTAGACTTTTATAAACTCTTTATTGAGGTGATCCGCTCATTGTTTTAAATTCTGATATTTATTTATTAAAAAAAAAGTCGTGTTTTATTCCTCTTTTGATCATATGGATTCTAGTAATTAATTTGCATATTTTTTTTTAAGACAATTTGCATATCATCTTGGTTATGATTAAAAGTGTCGGTTTAAGTTTATTTCTAAGTCATAAAAGATTTAAATCGAATTACCTTTCTAATATGAATTATAATAATTTGAATTTAACATTAATGCCTCATTCGTTAAATATAATTGGATTGGATAGCGCAATAGATCTAATGTAGGTTCAAGGACGAAATGAAGGTAGATTTGAGGGATTTTCATTTTGAGATTAAAAAGGACACATTATAAGGTGTTGATATCCTAACATTTTGGGGATAAGTTTCCTTCATAAGTAATTCATCTTCTATCTTCAAGTTGGAACAAATTTCTCTATTTATTTATTCAACATGCCTTTATAAATAGGTACTTGAAATTGGATTCGATTGAAAAACTCACAGGCAAGTTGAACAAGGAAATGAATGTAAAGGTGAATGATTTTTCATTTTAGTGGAAATTAGAAAGGATAATTTATAAGGTGTTGATATCCTCTTATATTGTGTTGATTAATGAGATAAATTTCCTTCATAAGTAATTGATTTTCTACTTCCAACTTGGACAAAATTTATTCTTTTCTTCCTCCAAAATGCTTTAAATCCTAAAATGTGATAATATAGAACATGAAAGTATTTTTTTTTTTTTGGCTAAAAAAAAGAGTAAAATATGGGACATAAAATAATTTTATTGATAGCCATTTATTTGATTACTCTAAGGCTCCATTTGGTAAGTCCAGTTATGGGAAATGGTTGCCTAGCACATGGGAAAATATAAGGGAAAATGTAACCCTCCTCCCCCCTTGGGTCTCATTTTCCCTTCCAATGGGAAAGTTTGGGAAAACGGGCCAACATTAAATACATGTTTTTCATGACCATTTTGTCCCCATTAACAATTTAGAATTACAATATAGCATTAAATGCATGATTTTATTATTTGATTTCATATGGGTATAATTGGAAAATTAAACAAACTTTGTTTTACATAAGGTCTTAAATATCGATGGTTTCGAAAATATCGGTAGTCCAAAAACACGTAAATTTCGATGGAAATATCGGGATATTATCGATATCGATAAAAATTGAATAAAAACCAGGGAAATTGTAAGAAAAATTTGGAATTTTTTCTTGAAACTTTGGAGGATGTTTATTTAGTCAATTATCTATTACTTTATCACAAAAAATTGGAAGGCAATGCATTGCATTATGGGTTTAACTGATTTAAGTTGATTATATAGCGAGCTGACAAACACTACAAATTTGAGTTTCTATAAGGTTCAAATTTGAGTTATTTACGCTAACACCTCATGGGCTTTTCGACATTTTCACAAAACTCCTTGAGGTTTTAGAAATTACAAGAACACCCCCTGATGTTTTAAATTATTTTCACAAAACTACTTTTCATTGATTTTTCATCCAAAGATTGATGATTTTATACAAAAAAATTCTCCAAATGACAAAGTTGGCCTTTGAGATTAGATTGCATATACTTCATTCAGGTTAATTTTGTCATTTGTATAAGTTTTTTTTTCACTGAAATCATCAATTTTCGGATAAATAATCAACGAAAAGAGGTTTTGTGAAAACAAACTGAAACCTCAGGTGTTGTTCGTGTAATTTTTGAGACCTGAAGGGGTTTTGTGAAAACACAAGAAACCTCATGGGGTGTTAGTTTAAATCACTCTTCAAATTTTTCATTGTCTTCATGATCTCGATATTATCGATATTATAGCGATATTTTGGCAAAATATTGTTGAAGTGTGAGAGAAATTATCGACATCGATATTTTCTGATATTATCATCGATATTATCGATATTTCGTCGATATTATCGATATTTTAGACTATGGTTTTACATTCCTACACAAACCAAATATGGAAAAGAAAATAAAGTTGTATTTCCAAGTTAATTTCCCAACATTACCAAACATGGGAAATGAATCTTCCATTTTCCATCAAGTGGGAAAACGCATGGGGATTGATTCCCTATCAATTCCCTTTTATGAACCAAACATGGCCTAAGTCAGAAAAATAACTAGGATATCTTTTTTCCTTTCCTATGTTTGGTTTGTGTACAAATTAAAAACAAACTTTGTTTAATTTTATAATTATATCCCTAAATTAGAAATATGCAAAAATAGGATAACTAATGCTTTCCTGGGTATTTTTTAATTGTTAATAGGGGCAGGTTAATCATTAAAAAGTGTAGTTAATGATTGTATTGGTTCTATTAGGAAGGGAAATGAAACCCCAAGGTGGATGGTGGGGGAGGTTCATTTTCCCCATATTACTCCATGAGCCGAGAAATCATTTTTCAAGCATGGACTTACCAATTCCCTTTTCCTATGAAGCAAATTCACCCTAAGGCTTTTTTTGTTTTTTGTTCGATATTCATTTACCATGTTGGTAATGTTAGAAAAGTAACTAAGAAATATCATTTGTTTGTACACGATTTGTAAACAAACTTTGTTTAGTTTTTCAATTATAGCCCTAAATAAGGTTTACAATAATTACTGTATATTAGTATTTAAAAAATAAGATTTATCTTTAAATTTTATTTTGAAATTTCAAAGTTATTTTACTCTAAATAAATATCTCATAAACGTAATACTGCCCACTTGTCAATTATTTCATACATATTGGTAATCGTCTATCATTTAATAAATAATCATAAAAATGAAAACAACTCATAAAAAAGAAAATTCTGGAATATCTCATTGGCATATGCTTCCAACAGTATAAATCACAAACTTCAAAAAACAAAAGTACATATATTTTGCCCGTATATCATAATATACGTAAAATTAAATTAAATTAAAATTAAAAATCACATTTTCCTCGTGAAACGCGAGTGTCACCCTCTTGGCTTCCCCTAAAAAGCTTCGCCCTCACACTCACAAAAACCTCAGAAAATCTCATCATCAATCACCTTTAGCCATGGCTGCAGCCACCAACAATAGCCTTTCTGGTGATAGCTGTACGCCACAATCTCCAACCTTCCAGCAACGAATTGGTGCGTAGGTTAAGCCCGTCACCCTGACAGCTGACCAATAGCACACACATCCCCTCTTCCTCCCTCAACGACTCAATCCGGTGATGCTCGGATTTCTTTGCGCGCGCCGGAAGACTTGGATCGTCAGCTCCCTCTCGTCCTTCGCTCACGGCTCGGCGGCGGCTCACCAGAGCCGGCTCCTCCAAGCCCATACCTTTCCCCTTATTCATCAGCAAATCGCTAGCTTCTCCTGCGGTTTTGAGACCCGGCGCCACCACCACTCGAGCGCGTGCCAGCTCGGCTCGGCTTGCGGCACCGGCGCGGCATCGATATGGCACGCCTTGCTCCCTTCCTCCGGCAACCGGAGATCTGGAGATCTCCTCCGGCCGGCGATCCACTACGAGCTTAAGGGAGAGGGGTCGTGGAACGCCGCTTGGGACGCACGGCCAGCTCGCTGGCTCCACCGTCCCGACTCGGCTTGGCTACTCTTCGGCGTCTGCAACTGCTTAGCCCCGATCGACTGGGCTGACGACTCTACTCCTGACGGAAACGACGGCGTTTCGAACGAGAATGCTGAGAGTTTTGATTCGAAATGCTCAGCTGCTCCTGATCAGAATAACATTGATAACTCCGCTGATTACAGAGTTACAGGTTACTTTTTTTTCTTGTAATTAATGCTAATTAGGATCAATTTCATCAATTTATTGACATTGTTTCAGTGAATTATTGAGTTTGTTATGTCAAGTATTGTTTTTTTTTTAATTTATAAAAAATTTATATAAATAATGAAGAAGAAAGCTCTCATTTTTTCATTTTGGGTGTTTGGATTCACCACTAAGATTAGTCTATTGAGAAATGCTATGTCATATGTGCACTTTTTGGTTGTGAATTTTTAATTGGTTTTATTGAAAGCCACTATTCTTAACTTTTCTTTTTTGGAACTTTTTGGTGCTTTTCCTAATGCTTTGTTTGGTGACTGTTTGTTTGTGGGTGCATGCATACATAAGTTACTTTCGTTGTCTTTCTTTGTTTTGACTTCAATTTTCCGTCAAAACATCCTGAACTATACGTTGATGCTGTCTGAGATAATAACAGGGGTGCCAGCCGATGGTCGATGCCTATTCAGAGCGATAGCACACGTGGCTTGCTTGAGAAATGGGGAGGAAGCCCCTGATGAAAATCGTCAGAGAGATCTCGCTGATGAATTAAGAGCTCAAGTAACTCTCATTCATTTTTAGGCATAAATTTTTTTTTGTTTCCTTTTTCGGAGGCATTGAATGTTTTACCAAATTGTTTATATGCGTGCTGTATTTTCTTATTGTGTGGTGTAGGTCGTAGACGAGCTCTTAAAGAGGCGGGAGGAAACAGAATGGTAAGCTTTTGTGATTTTGGACTGAAATTTTTCAATTTGTTTTTGTTACCATGTCGCAGAAATGATTTGGTTTTTAATCTTTTATGAAATGCATGTTTAGGTTCATCGAAGGTGATTTTGATGCGTATGTGAAGAGACTTCAACAGCCTTATGTTTGGGGTGGAGAACCTGAGTTGCTGATGGCTTCTCATGTTTTAAAGTGAGAACAAGCAGTTTTGTGTTGTTTGTTATACCTTCAACCATGATTGTTGATGTTTTCTCGTTCTGGTAGAATTGTGTTAACTCCATAGGCCCGGTTGCCCTTCCTACTTATTTTGGATTCTCATACCATCATGTTGCCATAGATGGAGTTTGTGATGCGTTTCTACTCACGTACATGCGATGAGGGTGTGTGGATTAGTTTCGTGGCATACGGTTTTAACTCATCTATGGTTGACTTAGTTAAGCATTTTGAGCTACATGTTGGGTTATTATTGGGTTTTATGTTAGGATTTCTATATTCGGATTTGTGTGGCTTCAATAAATAGGTTGCATTGTCATTGTGTTCGACAATTTTGAGCATTTCAAAATATCAGAGTTTAAGTTTGAAGTTTAGTTTCTCAGCCTGGGGTTTTTATATTCTTTCATTTAGTCTCTTCCTTCTTCTCTTCCCAGGTTCTACATTTAGACTTTTTCATGCAAATGGCCTGCATTTTCCCCCTTAAGTTTTAGTTTAGTTTAGCTGCCATGGCTGCATATTTTGTGTCGTCATTCTTTTTTTTGTCTTGATTAATTTTCAAAGGGAACACTACCTATCATGGTTCTACAATTTTAGTTTCCATTTCGCCTTTCTTTCAGTTTTTTGCCGGAAGAGGGTGTGTTATGATCTATATAGCAATCTGCTTAATCCTTAAGTCTGACACAATGTTTTACTCCTCAGGACACCAATATCTGTCTTCATGATAGATAGAAGCTCGGCTGGTTTGGTTAACATAGCAAATTATGGTGAAGAGTATCGGAAAGAAGAGGAGAAACCAATCAATGTTCTCTTTCATGGATATGGACACTATGACATCTTGGATTCTTTCTCAGAACAGAGTCTGAAGAAACTAAACATGTAGAAGTTGGATATGGTTATATAAACATAAATTCCTTGGGATCAAATAAATCACATTGTTGTAGAAGAGCTTACAACTTTAGTGAGGGAAGAGTTTCCCCGATGAGGAACATGTTTCAAGTTCATTAGTTTGCTGCAATGACCTTGATTCAAGTAATAGATTAAGACTAAGTAGCTAGGCTGAAGGCAGGGAAGGCTAGCCAGTCCGGCAACTGCTGGCCACTGACAAGGAGTCAACTAGCGATTCCAGCTTCTTAGAGATAATGATTTGAATAAATATTTCCTTCCAAGGCCAGCTATTGGAGTTACGTTGCATTCATTAATTTGGCTGGTTCAATTTTGAAGGTTCATTATTTTTGTTTGAAAATTCAAAGGCAGGTTTACTTGATACTTTTTAGTTTCCTGGTGTTCTGGTTGGCTCACACATTTTATAATTGGTAGCAATGTTTCTTTTTCCCAGATTGATCAGGAAAATTCGATTTTCTCCTTTTAAACTTGACAGTAGCTTATATTCTGCAGTCGAATTGCATGGCCAGGTGGAAATGCATGTTTCTGCCATTGGTTGGAATTGTCGTCGGTTATTCGATAATGGAGTTTATATTCTTCCAACTTCATTAGAATATATGCTAAACTCCTAAATTACTGTAAGTTGGGAGAGTTTACTGTAACTGCTTCTTTACGGTGCATGGGTGGATAACCCGGCTACATTCGGTTCTTTAGCTGCCCTAGTAGTTGCCCCTGCTAACCGTTCTCAATGAGTTTCTCTAAATTCTGCCTCTCCTCTGGTATTCTTTTCCCTTTGGCAACTCTGGGAGTGCTCTGGCTTTTTATACCTTCGTCCCCAAGGTATAATGAAACACTTTTATCTTGGTTGGTTGTTTCAGCTCTGAGATTGGAATTTTCTAATTTGCTACTTGCAGGTCAGTTTTCAATTGTTAGTGGGTAATTTTCAAGTCAAGAGAAAAGAGTTGGGGAAAAGTTTAGGGTCGGCTATGCCAATTCTTAGCTGACGTCTGCAACCTGCAGCGTACTTATTCTACAATCATTCTATACGTGGTTCTAGAATCTTTTAGAAGTCAGTTTGGAAATGTATTCACGCAGAAACAAAGCCTTGTATTCATAATTTTAAAGATATACAGAAAATTCACTCACTCTATTGTTGAATCGTATCTGTTGGGAAGTTACCCTTTTGTTTTTATAAGGCAGTATCTTAAAATTACTCTAATTTTCGGAGACGAAGATTCAAACTTGAGTGGAAGGAGACCTGAATACTATCCTGACAAACTTAGCATTTTATGATGGACACTTGGACAACTAAGTGTTCCAAAAAATTGGAAAACCTAAGACATCTTTTACTTTTCTAACGCTGTCAATGTCATGCTTCCTGCCTTCTACGAAGATTCTGATTCTTGTAGAGCAAGCAAGGTTTGACAATATTTCTCGACTTCATATAACATCAATTTGGGACCAAGCCGATGTGATTCCCTTTCTTGTTCAACCCCACCACACGTAACATGAGGGGTGGGTTGGAAGGAAGCGTGAGTTAGTGAGTTTACTTACGTTACGTATCACATTGTCATCCCCATGGAATATTACAAGTTTTTACTTTAACACGACACCTTTTTTTTGCGCAAATTATTTGGAATATGAAAGCACCTAAGTATTTTATAAATTCCTCGCGATATTAAAGACGAGAGTTTGTTCACCTTAGTTAAGTTACAATCCATTGTCAACCCTACTCGTTTATATTAATGCTTGTAACCCTAATTCAATATCTTTATTTGACATTCTATGTAAAATATGTTCATTTATCGTATAAGAACAAATTATGCAAATATGATCCAGCTTTTTTTTTCTTCATGATTGTATTGATCGGGTGTTTCTGATGTTCAATGTGAAAACGAGTAAAATGAAGAGGATGAAAACAACGAGGGTGAGTTAGTAAAAGTAATTATACTATTGGATCTAATAAAATAAAATAAAAAATATTTAGGACCAAGTTGTTTTTATAGGAAAATTGAAAAAGAAACGGTTAACGAATAGACACACTTCAAAACTACAGTTTTTTTTTTGGAGCTAATCTCTCGATTTTTAAAAATGCGAAACCAATGACACAGAGGAATTGGTTGACGTGCAGAATTGTTAACTATTGTTCCTTTGAATTGTTCAAAATCATAAGGTAACTGCTCATATCGAAAAAAAAAAAAAAAAATTGGTCAATGAATGAACATAAATTATGTTAAATTGTTACACTCTCAAACCATATATCTCATACATAATTTATGATCCATTTTATTTTCTGGATAAGTGAGAGATGATGTAGGGGAAACTGTAGTTGCAACACATTGGCTCCAAACTTGCACACTATTTGCCAAAGTTCTAGATTTGTCGACATTAGGTTTAGACGCAAGATCAGATTTGAAGAAAAGATCATGGCATGTTTTGACTACATATATAAGATCATGACAACAAACATTAGTTACACTAGTCCCGCCTTCGAAATATTTGCACCAACGTCTCAAGCACATTCAATGGAGATATTTTGTTTACATTCATCCAATCCAAGGTATTCGAATATGATGCCTCTAAGGTTGGAATTGTGATAGAAGATCTGGGAGAAACTGTAATTGCAACACATATATAGGCTCTAAACTTGTGCATTCTTTGCCAATGCTCTTGATTTGTTGACATTGGGTTTAGATGAAACAGATGAGTTGAAGAATAGATCATGGCATGTTTTGCCTACAGATACAAGTTCATGGAAACAAGCGTTAGTTACGCTAGCCCGCCTTCGAAAATATTTGCACCAACTTGCCGTGCACACTCAATGGAGATATGTTTTTTACATTTCATCACTCTTCAAATTTGATGCCTCTGAGGTTGGAATTGCGATAGAATATTGTGATAGAAGATGTGGGAGAAACTCTAATAGCAACACAACAGCTCCAAATTTGTGCACTATTTGCCAAAGCTCTAGATTTGTCGATACTGTGTTTAGACAAAAGAGAAGAGTTCAACGTAGTCATTCGAAAAATAAAACAATGGAACTTTCTATAAATTTTTCATCAGGAAGATTAATATAGAATACAACAAACAGTAAAAGGTATATAATACGACTAACAAGTTTTAATGTAACCTAAAGAATTACTAGTTTATAAACAATTACTCGTTTATATTAATGCTTGTAACCCAAATTCAATATTTGAAGGTGATTATCGTTGTAAAATATGTTCATTTATCATATAAGAACAAAATTTTGCAAATATGATCCAACTATCTTTGTTCATGACTGTACTGAGTGGGTGTTTCTGATCTTCATCGTGAAAACGAATAAAATGAAAAGGATGAAAATAATGAGGGTGAGGACGAAAAAGACAAACATGTAAGTGTTAATAGTAAAAGTAAAAGCACAAATGGTACTTAAAAATTACAATTTTTTTCGTTACTCTTGATTTTTAAAAAGGTGAAAACAATGGTAAAGAGGAATTGGTTGGCGTGAAGAATTGTTAACTATAGTTCTTTTGAATTGTTCAAAATCATTAGGTAACAGTAGAAATTAAAGAAGTACTAAATGCACATATCAAAATCTTTTTTTTATGTTGCACGAACGTAAATTTTGTTAAAATGTTACCGTGAGGAATGCTATTCACAATCGCTCAAAAGCGATTGTCAAAGGACTTGCTATACACGTGTACACGTTCTCATGCCTTCCAAAAAACAAATGATTTTTTCTCTTTCTTCTCTCGGTTGCCTCCCTCTCTCTCTCCCTTTCTTTTTTTAATTAGCTTTTCTCTCTCTCTCCCTCTTTTTTCTCTCCGCCTGTCTCCATCTCTTTTTCCATCGCTCTCCCTCTTCTTCTCTCTGTTGCCTCCCTCCTCCTGCTTCTTCTATTCTCTCTCTCCCTCTCTTCTTCTCTCCGCCTGTCTCCATCTCCCTTCTTTTTTTTTTTCCATCGCTCTCCCTCTCTTCTCTCCTCCTCCTGCTTCTTCTACTTCTTATTTTCTTTTTCCCCTCCGTCTTCTTCTCTGTGTCTGTCTCCATCGATGGGTTGTAAAAACCCAAACTTTTTGTAACACAAAAACAAAAACCCCAAGCTTTAAAAACCCAAACTTCTTCCTCTCTGTGTCTGTCTTCCCCCAAATCACAGTTCTCTCCCTCATATTTCTTAACTTTCTTCTCCTTTTTTGTGTTCATTTGATGGGTAATGATTAAATCAGCAGGAGAGAAACGCAGCAATTGTGGGAATCAGAAACACAAAAACTCAAGGAGAGAAACACAAATTTGCAGCGTCATAGAGAAAAGGAGAGAAACACAGAAATTTTTTTGGAGAAACGAAGGGAAAAAACAAGACTAATAGGACGAAGGGGAGAGAAAAGGAAGACAATAACTCGCGAAGAAAATAAATAACTAGCCTAGATTGATTTGTGTTTAGTTGTTGTCTGGGCTTAGCCCCAGTTTGTTAAGAAGTAGAAGAAGCAGGAGGAGGGAGGCAACAGAGAGAAGAAGAGGAAGAGAGATGGAAAAAGAGATGGAGACAGGCGGAGAGAAAAAAGAGGGAGAGAGAGAGAGAAAAACTAATTAAAAACAGAAAGGGAGAGAGAGAGGGAGGCAACCGAGAGAAGAAAGAGAAAAAATCATTTTTTTTTTGGAAGGCATGAGAACGTGTACACGTGTATAGCAAGTCCTTTGACAATCGCTTTTGAGCGATTGTGAATAGCATTCCTCATGTTACCATATATCACATACATAATTTATTATCCATTTTTTTTCTCTGTTTAAGCAACAGAAGAGGTTTTGGAAAGTGTAATCACAACATATTGGCTCCAAACTTGCGCACTCTTTGTCAAAACTCTAGATTTGTGGAGGGTTTGGAAGAAAGGGAAGAATTGAAGAATAGATTGATGGGTATATTTTATATTATATATTTAACCAGGGGTGGACCCAATTAATGCCAACTATTGCGAAAAAACTTGCCTGCACCGGGGATAGGACAACAGTCCTATCCCCCTCCAATCGCAGCACACCACGTGTCCCCCTTTGGCAGAAAATGGACACATGGCGGGTTGTGATTGGAGGGGATAGGACTGTTGTCCTATCCCCGGTGCATGCAAGTGTTTCTCCAACTATGGGCAGCTGTCCACACTTACCCAAACACTTCAGCCATATAATCCCATCTAAATTCATTATTTTTAATTATTTTTAGGTCCTTCTCAAGTAAAGCCCCCACATAACCCATTGAATTTTTTTAAGCCCCCAGATGAACGAAAGTCTGGGTCCGCCACCGATTTAACCCCATTCTTGGTACATTTTGGTTCATATTTTGGAAGAATTTTGATACTTTGAATTGTATTCTCAATATAGGACTGTCGACTTTCTCTGGAGCAAAACATAATCAAATGGACGAATTTTGGAGTAATTCTAGTTGGAAGATGTTCGTGAGTCACTTGGCTTGATCGTATCAAAATTTCAGACTTTTCTACCAAGCGGTTATTTTCTGGTGATAAAATAAAGGAGCAGTGTGCAGTGATGGAAAGTGACGTTTTGGGCTTTTATGGCATTTTTGGAGCCCGAGATGACCTCTGATGGATTCATGGCCTTCTGGAGAAGTGTTCAGAACGTTTTTATCTTTAAAACAAGATATATTGGACTGGATTTGGAGGAGATTTGAGCCCAAAAAGTGGCTGGGCAGATTATGGACAGATTCTCCTAGTACAATTTGGATTTTATGTCATGTCATTATTTTATTTTATTTAGTTTCCTTGTGGGGATTGGGCAGCTAGGTTTTAGGGGATATTTAAGTTATTTTTCACAGAAAATTTAGATCTCTTTTTTTGGCTTGTGAACGCGACTTTTGCTAGGGTTTTTGAAGAATTTCTACTTCAAGGTGTTTTCGATCTTTATTATTTTAATGAAGAACTTGATGATTTTTATTATGAACATGCGTAACTAACTCTCTTTTGCTAGGGTGAGGGCACGAGCCTTAGCAAGAATATGTAGTTTTTGTCCAATTTGCTTATGATTATATGCATGCAGGTTTTCGAATTATTCATCACTGGGTTAAACTATCTAAGTGTCTTGATGCTTGATCACCATTAGGATGTTTAGAAAAGTAATTTGATGCAATTTTGGTCGGAGGTCAGTCCTTGAAATTGACGAAGGCTTCTTGTGATTAATATGTGCAAGTTCACTTAGGATGAATACCACGTCTTAAGGGTTGCAAGGTTTGTCAAAAGGTTTCACATAACTTAATGAGTCATGTATGTTTAGATTTGATCTGAATACCACAGACGGATTGCATGTGTGATATACGCTCTATGTTGGGGGTCCAAGTAGGCATATATTAGGAATACCCAACCTTTGAAATATGCATGTATAGGTCATAAGTAATGGGGAGAACTATATAGAATTGTTATGGTGACGGCGGATCCCTAGTGCTTTCTTAATTTGATTTCTAAAAACACAACTGTTTCTTTTGCTCTTAGCTTAAATTTTGCATATTGCCTTATTTTTATTAGTTAAATTCGTTTTAAGTTAAGGTCTTAAAATCAAACATCTCAACTTTCTCTTTTACAATAATTAATTAGAATTTGGTTTGCTACAAGTTATTTAATAATCCCTGCGGAGAACGACCTTGCGAGAATCATTTATACTACAATAACCTTGTCATTCTTGCAAGTTTTATAGGAGTTTTAACCCTATTTGTGCAGGTACTAAAAAGTCTATCAAGAATTTGGCACCGTTGCCGGGGATTATTTAAAATAATTTGTTCTAATCAGATTCTGCATGAATTATTGCTGTACATACATACCAAAAAAAAGAAGAAATAATCTTTGTTTTTATTTTATTTTTACATATCACAGCAGGGCAGTGCAGATTTACAATATGTGCATGGTCAGCACACGTTCAGCAATTCAGCAATTGTTTCCGTGTGATCCAGAACCTGAGCAATCTTTAAGGAGGAGACGCACGGAGCAAAATTTGCTGTGGGTTCCTTCACTGCAAGGGACTTTTCTGCAGTCTTTATATTCTGAGGACCTGCACAGTAAAGAAACAATGGCTTTTGTTATTCCAGAGGCTGGTGATCCTTTGGGTAACTCTTTAACAGCTCATGCCACTAACATACCAGGTTGCATTACATATCCAGAAGTGGAGGAAGGGTCTACATTCGAAATCAAGCATCACATGTTGAATATTCTACCTACATTTCATGGGTTATTAGCCGATGATCCTAACATGCACATTGCAGAATTTTTAATGGGATGCAAGAATATTTTGGTGAAAGGATTCTCAGCTAAATCTATTAAGCTTCGTTTATTTCCATACACATTGAAAGATCAAGCAAGGAGATGGCTCCTCACACTTCCATCTGGAAGCATTAGCACTTGGAACCAACTCAGTGAAAAATTCTTAAACAAGTATTATCTAGCCTCAAAGACTCTCGACATGAGAACTCAAATTTTATCTTTTGCCCAAAAACCAAATGAAGAGTTTCATGAGGCGTGGGAACGGTTTAAAGAGTTGAATCGAAAATGTCCACATTCTGGTATTAACAGTACTGATCAAGTGCATATATTTTTCAGAGGGTTAAATATGACAACAAAAACTCTTGTCAACACTTCATGCGGAGGTTCGTACAAGGATAAAAAGGCATAAGAGGCTTGTTTATTATTTGAAAAAATGGCAGCAGATACACAACAATGGGCAGTTGAGCAACCACAATCTAGGTCTGTTTTTGAGCTATCTAATGGTTCTCCATATATGTCGGCACAAATTGAAAAAATGGAGAAAAAGCTTGAAAGATTTGATGCCAAATTTGACATGTTATTACAAAGAATTCTAGGTTCACAGGTTGTTGTACAGCAGCCCTTACCAGTTGCCTGCAGCATTTGCAATGTGACAACCCATGATTTTTTGAGCTGTCCACATAAAGATGCTTATCCAGAATTTGCAGCGGAACAAGTTAATGCATTTAATAATTTTCAGCGTCCAAGATATGACGCGTATTCAACTGTTTACAACCCGAGTTGGAGAGATCATCCTAATTTTAAGTGGGACAGAGATCAGTTTGCAAGGCCACAATTTCAACAACAGGTACAGCAACCTGCTGCGCCTAAGGTTGCTTGGGAGGTTGCAATTGAAAAATTAGCAAACGACACCAATCAAGAATTCCAAAATATGCAGGCAACAGTGAAAAACATAGAAAAACAAATGGGGCAGATTGCATTCCAAGTTTCAGAAAGAGCACCAGGTACATTTCCTAGCCAAACTGAACAAAATCCAAGGGGAGGCGCAGATTGTAAGGCAGTTCGAGTTCTACGTTCGGGTAAAAGTTATGACAATAGAGGTGAAATTTGTGCTGAAAATTCGCGGGCAGCATCACAGCCACAAACAGATTCAGGAAATTTTGCAGAATCTGATATTGTTGCAAATTCTGCAATTTTTGCAGATTCTACAGAGTCTATGGGCAGATCCGAAAACAGTGAAAGAATTGCTGCAGAAACTGCAGAGCGTGTTTATGTGCCTCCAATGCCTTATCCCGAAAGGTTGAAGCCCAAAGTTAAAGATCAACAGTTGATAGATTTTATGAAGACGTTGGCCAAAGTTCAGATCAATCTCCCATTGATTGATGCAATTAGGAACATTCCATCTTATGCCAAGTTTTTAAAGGATGTTTGCACAAAGAAAAAGAAGCTCGTGGATTTTGAAAAAGTTATTCTTACAGAACAGTGCAACGTAGTTTTATTACACAAACTGCTTCCAAAGAAACAAGACCCAGGGAGTTTTACAATTTCATGCACAATTGGAAATTCTAATTTTAAACGTGCTTTAATTGATTTGGGTGCCAATATTAATTTAATGCCTTTTTATGTTTTTTAGAGACTAAGACAAGGAGAAATCAAGCCTACATCAGTTATTCTACAACTGGCGGACCGTTCAGTTGCTTACCCTAGGGGAATTATTGAAGACCTTACCCTAGGGGAATTATTGAAGACCTCATTATTAAAGTGGATAATCTCTACCTTCCTGCATATTTTGTGGTCTTGGATATGGATGAAGATAGGCAAACACCGATTATTTTGGGGCGTCCGTTCATGGCTAATGCTCGAACCCTAATTGATGTTGAGGCTGGAACACTTACACTTAGAGTGCAAGATCAGTTCGTTGTTTTCAATTTATTTGAAGTAACCAAAAGGCTAGCTGATGTGCAAGATTGTATGCGTGTTGACATGTTAGACAGTTTAATGCATGCTGAAATTATGCCCCGTTTGACATCAGATCCATTGTTACAGGTGTTGCATGGGTTGGAGAATAAAAACACTAAAGATGAAGAGGTTTTTGAGTATGTTTCAGTTTTGGAAAGTGTTCCTTTTCTACACCCCCATTGGAGGCACGTTTTTGAGAGTTTAGGGGAACCGAAAAAACCGTTGCAGCCCTCTAAAGTCCAGCCACCTAAACTGGATTTAAAAGTACTGCAAGGACACTTGAAATATGCTTATCTAGGTGCAAATTCTTCGCTGCCAGTTATTATTGCTGCTGACTTATCATCAACAGAAGAAGAAAAATTGCTGCGTATTTTACGAAATTATCAAGATGCAATCGGTTGGACTATAGCAGACATTAAAGGGATCAGCCCTACAATTTGCATGCACAGAATTCTAATGGAAGATGGAGTAAAGCTCACCATTGATGCTCAACATCGTTTGAATCCAATTATGAAAGAAGTTGTTTGTACTGAAGTTATGAAGCTTCTAGATGATGGGATGATCTACCCAATTTTAGATAGTAAGTGGGTTAGTCCAACTCAAGTGGTGCCTAAGCATTCTGGAATTATAGTTGTGAAGAATGATAATAATGAACTTGTGCCTACACATTTGACTACTGGGTGGCGTATGTGTGTTGATTACATAAAGATCAATGTGGGTACTAGAAAGGATCATTTTCCATTGCCTTTCACTGATCAAATGTTGGAAAGGTTGGCTGGTCGTGCGTTCTATTGTTTCTTGGATGGATATTCAGGGTACAACCATCCAGTTGCACCTGAGGATCAAGAGAAGACAACCTTTACATGTCCTTTTGGGACTTTTGCATATCGAAGAATGCCCTTTGGTTTGTGCAATGCTCCTGCAACGTTTCAACGATGCATGATGAGCATATTTTCCGGATTGGTTGAACAGGTAGTTGAAGTGTTTATGGATGACTTTTCTGTTTTTAGGGATTCTTTTTATGAATGTTTGAACAATTTATCCCTAGTTCTTGAAAGATGCATTAAGACAAACCTTGTTTTAAATTGGGAAAACTGTCATTTCATGGTTAAGCAGGGGATTGTCCTAGGCCACTTGATTTCTAACAGGGGTATTGAGGTTGATAAGGCCAAAATTGATGTAATTGCAAAGATGCCACCACCGACAACTGTTAAAAGTGTTCGATCTTTTCTTGGTCATTCTGGGTTTTACAGACGGTTTATCAAGGATTTCTCCAAGATTAGCCGACCATTGTGTAATTTATTGGCTAAGGATGCTCCTTTTGTTTTTGATGATGCTTGTTTGGAGGCTTTCAACAAGTTAAAGACACTCCTCACTACAGCACCCATTATTGCAGCACCTGATTGGAGTTTACCTTTCGAATTGATGTGTGATGCTTCAGATTACGCAGTAGGAGCAGTTCTTGGACAACGGAAAGATAAGCTTCCCCAAGTCATTCATTATGCTAGTCGGACTCTCAATGATGCATAGCTAAACTATGCGACCACAGAGAAGGAATTGTTGGCAGTTGTTTTTGCATTAGAAAAATTTCGTTCTTACTTAGTTAGGGCTAAGGTGATTGTTTACACAGATCATGTGGCTTTGAAGTATTTGTTGTCAAAGAAAGACGCTAAGCCTCGATTAATTCGTTGGATTCTTTTACTGCAAGAGTTTGATTTAGAAATCAGGGATAAGAAGGGTAGTGAAAATGTTGTGGCTAATCATTTGTCCAGGTTGATTTTGCCAATTTCTGCAGAAGATGACTTGCTGCCTTTAAATGAAAATTTTCCAGATGAACAGCTGTTTGCTGCCCATATCATTTCACCATGGTTTGTTGATTTAGTTAATTATTTGGCCAGAGGGGTACTTCATCCAGATTTTACTTTCCAACATAAAAAGAAATTCTTGGCAGATGCAAAGTATTATTTTTGGGATGAACTATATTTATACAAATATTGTTCAGACCAAGTTATTCGCAGGTGTATTCCAGAAGAAGAGCATGAAAGTGTTTTAAAATTTGCACATCAGTATGCTTGTGGGGGACATTTTGGCCCTAAAAGGACAGCAGCTAAAATTTTGCAAAGTGGATTGTTTTGGCCTACTCTCTACAGGGATGCTAATAGTTGGTGTAGATCTTGTGATCGTTGTCAAAGGGTGGGTAATCAGTCCAAAAGAAATGAAATGCCACAACAAAGTATATTAGTCGTTGAATTGTTTGATGTTTGGGGTATTGATTTCATGGGACCATTCCCAATGTCCCATGGCAATCAGTATATTTTGGTGGCTGTTGAATATGTTTCTAAATGGGTCGAGGCAATTGCAGCACCAACCAATCAAGGATCAGTTGTTCTGAAATTCCTCCAGGGGGTAATTTTTCCACGATTTGGAACACCGCATGTCATTCTAAGTGATGGGGGTAAGCACTTTGTTAATAGATCGTTTGCTACGTTGTTGGCTAATTATGGGATCACCATCGTGTTGCTACCCCTTATCATCCACAAACATCAGGACAGGTTGAAGTTTCAAACAGAGAAATCAAGCGAATTCTTGAAAAAACAGTTAGCTCTACTCGAAGAGACTGGAGTTTGAAATTTAGTGATGCTCTCTGGGCGTATAGAATAGCATTTAAAGGCCCAATTGGGATGTCCCCATTTCGGCTGGTTTATGGCAAGGCTTGTCATTTACCTATGGAGCTAGAGCATAAGACATTTTGGGCTATTAAAGAGTTGAATTTTTCTTATGATTCTACTGGAGAAAAACGTAAATTGCAGATTAATGAGCTTGAGGAAATTCGTAATGATGCTTATGAGAGTTCGTGCATTTACAAAGAAAAAACCAAGGCATTTCATGACAATCAGATTCTCAGAAAGAATTTTCATCCAGGGCAAAAAGTTTTGTTATTCAGTTCAAGGTTGAAGTTATTTCCAGGGAAGTTAAAGTCTCGTTGGAATGGCCCCTATTTGGTTACTAAGGTTTATCCTCATGGGGCGGTTGATATTACAAGTGAAATTAATGGCAACACATTCAAAGTGAACGGTCACAAGCTGAAACCATATTTGGAGTCACCCTTCGATATTGCACGTGAGTCACTGACTCTGAAGGGACCAGTGATCTGACCACCAGGCTTCTGCAACGTCTAGCTACGGACTTAAAATGAAGCGCTTATTGGGAGGCAACCCAATTTTTCTAACCTCTTTACTTATTATTATTATTATTTTCTTTTTCTTTTTCTTTTTCTAAACTCTTTACTATTTGGTTCAATGCAGGACAACAATCAACAACACAGAAACAAATATACGCAGATAATCCTACACTGGAATCATGCACCCAACAGCAACTGGAATCATGCACCCAATAGCAAGTCTACATGAACATCAAAGGCAGCTATTCCTATACTGGAATCATGCACCCAGCAGCAAGTTTACGGAATTCGAAATTATACATGCCAGATGCCTGATCTGGGATCCTCGAAGTTTTGTTTTTGTTTTTGTTTTTTGTTTTTTGTTTTTTTTGTTTGCTGCATTGTCCTCTGAGTTTGTGTGTTCCCCGCCTTGCCCTTGCACCTCTCCTAGATCTACCCTTTTTCCTACACAGTGCACATCAATATCAGTACTTGTAGAGACAAAGAACAAATCTCCATACAGATCAAGACCCTAAGCAAACTCGGTTGGTTATCTTCCTTTCATATGGACATCAGAGTTGTTCCTAGCTGCTACCTTTGCATCGAGGCCACATTGGGGTTCCTACACATGCCAGAACTGACTATTACTCAGATATGTTTTTCATGAACCAGATTATGTCTCATGTCCAATCCTCAAAGTGCGAAGCGCAAGGACAAGCGTTTATACCTTCCAGATTCCTATCTCGCACACTGGGAGATGTCTCGCTCATTTTCCTAACGGATCTGCTCCTTGAACAATTTTTCTCCTCAGATCTATCAGATGGCAGTAATCTGCGACCAATATGAGTTAGGTCTCCGAAACAAAAAGAAAACAAAAATGACCAGATCGGTTTGGAGACTCACGGATTGAAGTTTCAAAGAAAGGCTGTTTATGGTTTGAGCAACAATCTACTGGTGTGTTGAGTTTCGTCGAGAGAAGAGAGCGTTCTGTGTTTTGACAAAAGAGAGAGAGCCAAATAGATCGTGGGCGCAGGTGATTGAGCTGACCGAGAGAGGGAAGGGTTTGCGTTTTGTGACAACCACAAGAGAGAGACTTCGGTTTCTTTTTTATAAAACAGAGTTTATTCACACTTCACCACAGACGGATTGCATGTGTGATATACGCTCTATGTTGGGGGTCCAAGTAGGCATATATTAGGAATACCTAACCTTCGAAATATGCATGACATGTTTTGCCTACATGTACAAGTTCATCGCAACAAACATTAGTTACACTAGCCCCGCCTTCGAAAATATTTGCCCAACTTGCCGAGCGCACTCAGTGGAGATATTTTTTACATTCATCCAAGGTCCTTGAATATGATGTCTCCAAAGTTGGAAATGCGATAGAAGATGTGGGAGAAACTCCAATAGCAACACATCGGCTCCAAATTTGTGCACTCTTTGTCAAAACTCTAGAATTGTCGACATTGGGTTTAAACAAAAGAGAAGAGTTGTAGACCATAGCATGTTTT